CCTTTCCTTTCACCATCTCTCCCTTATACTACCCATGTTTCACCTTTCATGGGCAAGTTCTTTAGTTAACCAAAATGCCCACATTATTTATCACTTCAAGTCTGTAAATAAAGTCACCGAAAGCAATGAAACAGAATCTTGTAGTAAGGCTACATAAATTATATGTCTTTATTGGAAGGAAAGATTTTCTAAATTGGTCTCAATTTAGAAGTCAATAAATATATAATAAAGCTATCTCTACTCTCAACATATTTTCATAATATTTCAATATATTTTCACTTTTGCAAATACTTTAATCTTATTAGTTGCTCTTCATTAGTCCTTCACATTATGCCACTGGACAAATACCTTTAAAAAAATAACTCAAAGCAGGAAACTACTTAAAATACATTTCCAGTATTTTATAGAGTTTATTGGATCAGAATCCATTCTCCTTATACTTCAACTCCACCAGTGAGCTTAAAATTCCTTCCAAGCTTTTGGGAACAATGCTCTCAGTGTCACTATCCCTACTATACATAGGATAATCATTGGCTGTTCCCCAAATTCCAGAACCATGTGCCATTGCATTGCTTTCCTCCCACCCTGAAGTCACTGGCAGTAGCTCATTTTGGCAGTTTGTCAAATAAATCACACGGTAAAGCACTTGGTGATCTTTAACCAAATGAATCTGCGGTGTGTGCAGCATATGACATGTAGAGGTATTCCACACATTATAATAGAACACAGTGAAGGATATACCCTGTACAGCATAATCCTGGAATCAAGACTCTCTTTGAGAACTTCTCTTTAAAGTAATATCCTTTTTTTGAGCTAAAAAGGTCAACTTACTTAAAAACAAAGGCAAATACCATCTCATGGCAACTATTGTTCCCTTCTGAGAATGACTGATGTCTTACATACTTATTACCAGACAGTTTATGGAAATTATGCTGTCAAATAGATCACATTTTCCTACAGAAACAGTGTAAGGATAGGGCTCATATCCCTTACCAAAGAATCAACAGAGAAACTATAATTATGAGAGTTAAAGCAAAGATAAGACTATTATAAAATTTTATAATATAAAGTGACAAAAGGATGCTTCAACTTTTTAATTTATTTAACAAACGTTTAACAGGTGTCTGTGATGTGTCAGGCATTGGTAATCAAATAACACCTGGTACCTGCCATGCTCAATAAATTAACTAACAGTCACGATTTACTAAACAAGCACATCAATGTTCACTGTATAGGGTGGTTACTGTCATGAATGAGAGATGCTTAGAGTCTGTGAGGACACAGAAGACAAACCTCTAAATCAGCATCCAGGGATCAGTAAACACTTCCTGGAAAAGATGACCTGGGCTCAGCTTTACTACATGAGCAAGAACTGACTGAATTAGAAAGGCAATCCAAGTGACAGGAATATGGTCATGTTCTGCATAACAACATTTCGGTCAACAACAGATGCATACATGATGGTGGTTCCATAGGATTATAGTAGAGTTGAAAAATTCTTATTGCCTAGTGACCTCATAGCCATAGTAACATTGTAGTGCAACGCCTGTGGGTTTTGGTAACACTTCCAGAAGAAGGCATTGTTAACATAGGAGATGAAAATTCCCATGCGTGCTATTGCCCCTGAAGACCTTTCAGTGGGACAAGATATGAAAGTGGAAGGCAATGACATTGACAGCCCTAATTCTGTGTAGGACTAGGCTAATGTGTGTATTTGCGTCTTAGATTTTAGTAAAAAAAAAAACTTTAAACAGTAAAAAAAGAAAAAAAAATTTAATTTAAAAAAGAAAAAAACTTATAGAATAAGGACACAAAAGAGAAAATATTGTGCAGCTGTACAATGTCTTTTAATCTAAGTATTACTACAAAAGAGTCAAAAAGTTAAAAATTTTTTAAGCTTATAAAGTTAAAAAGTTGCAGTAAGTTAAGGTTAACTTATTATTGAAGAAGGAAAAATATTTTTAAATAAATTTAGGGTAGCCTAAGTGTACAGTATTTATAAAGTCTACAGTGATACTAGGCATTCACCACTCCCTGACTCACTCAGAGCAACTTCCAGTCCCGCAAGTTCCATTCATGGTATGTGCCCTACACAGGTGTACCATTTTTTAATTTTTTTAACCATATCTTTACTGTGCCTTTTCCATGTTTAGGTATACAAATACTTACCGCTATGTTATATTAATCATTGCCTGCAGCATTCAGTATAGTAACATGCTGTAAAAGTTTGTAGTCTAGGATGCCTAGGTGTGTTGTAGACTATGCCATCTAAGTTTGTGTAAGTATACTCTATGATGTTCACACAATGACAAAATGACATATGGATGTACTTCTCAGAACGTGTCCCCATTGTTCAGTAAGGTATGACTGTAGCTGATAACACGTGCACAGAGGCATAAAGCAACATGGAACATTCAAGAAACTGAGAGTTCCTGTTTGGAGGAACATTTGAGGGAGGAGCAGTCACAGGAAATGAGGTGCAAGATAATGGCAGAAGCCAAATCATGAAATGCTTTGGGAGGTAGGTTTAAAGTTTGAACTTTATTGAAGAAGGTAGTCCCCCTGATCCTCCAACAGCTACTAAAAATGATTTTAAGCAGACAAGTAAAATGAGCATATTTTCATTTTTAAAAGATCTATTTGATTTTACTATGGAGGAAAGCTAATGCAATAACCCTGAATTCACGAAGCAATGTTAAGAATAGAGTAGAAGGAACAGATCTGAGAGACAACAAGGAGAAAAAATTCATTGAACCTGACTGATGAAAGAATATATACACCAAACCCCCATGACACCAATATGACAAACCTGCATATGTACCCTGAACCTGAAATAAACGTTTTAGAAAAGTTTTTAAAAGTTCATTGAACTTAGACTTTAATTGGAAGAGAGGGTGGAATGAAAGGAAGAGTCTAAACTGGCTTGGTGACTAAGATGATGATCAAGAACAAGGACAAAGTGTGGGTCTCTGTTGGTAGGGAGCAGGGAAAAACAACAAATATATTTCAAATTATCTTGCACATTATGTTGTCTATATATTGTCTGAAGAATATATATAAAATATAAATTGTATATAATATACATAACAAAGTGTAGCCATTTTGGAAAACAGCGTGGAGGTTCCTAAAGAAATTAGAAATAGAACTACCATTAAGAGCTAGCAATCCCTCTTCTGGGTCTAACACTGAAGTAAAGGAAAGCACCACTTATAAAGATATCTGCACTCCCATATTCACTGTATCATTTTTTACAATAGTCAAGATATGAAAACAACCTAAGCGTCCATCAACAGATGAATGGATAAATAAATTGGTCTATATATACAACGGAAAAAAGGAGATCCTGCCATTTGTCACAACATGGATGAAACTGCAGGACATCATGCTAAGCGAAATAAGCTAGACATAGAAAGCTATTGCACAATCTCACTTATATGTAGAATCTTTGTTTAAGAAAGTCATATAGGCAAACACAGAGAATAAAACAGTATCTACCAGGGGCTGGGGGCAGGAGTGAGGAAATGGGCAGGTGCAGATCAAAGGATACAAAGTTGCGGTTATGAATAATGAACAGCTCTGGAGATCCAGTACACAACATGAAGACCAGAGCTAATCATCTTGAATTCAGGATTTTTGCTAAATGAAATTTAGATGCTCCTGCTACACACACCAAAAAAATGGGTAACTGTGAGATTAAGAATATGCTAATTTACTTTATTATAGTAACCATTTTACTATTTATATGTATTTCATAACATTATGTTGTATACCTTAAATATACACAATAAAATTTATTTTAAAATAAATTCACATAAATACAATTTTTTTTTTGAGATGAAGTCTCGCTCTTGTCCCCCAGGCTGGAGTGCAATGGCACGATCTCAGCTCACTGCACCCTCTGCCTCCTGGATTCAAGTGATTCTCCTGCCTCAGCCTCCCACGTTTACAGGCGCCTGCCACCATGCCCAGCTAATTTTTGTGTTTTTAGTAGAGATGGGGTTTCACCATGTTGGCTAGGCTGATCTTGAATTCCTGACCTCAGGTGATCCGCCTGCCTTGGCCTCCCAAGTGCTAGGATTACAGGCATGGGCCACCATGCTCAGCCAAAAATTTTTTTAAGTATATAACAAATAATCCCCTGTATCATACATGTGACATAAAGCTTACTGTTACTAGTATATTCATTTTAATTATTTAATTAGCAAAGGCTTCCTGATTTTCTTAAAGTTATGTTGGGGGGTTAAGGGAGAAAAATATTTTAAAATCCCAAGTCTCTTTTACAAAGCTGAACAAGAAAATTTAACTTTCCTTTTCTTCCCAAAATAGATACTTGCAGAAAGCTGATATATACGAAAGCATTCCACTAACCAAAGAATATTCAGCAATTATTTTAAAACTATCCTACAGTTTAGACTTAAATTCATTAGAAAATTGCTGTATTATCATAAAGATCGCAAAAAGATGAAATATATGCTTAGATTATGTCATATTAACAAAGCAGCAACTTGACTCATGCATACTTTATGCAAAGCATTTTTTAAAAAGTTTAGGAAATCTAAACCTTCAGAAATTTGCAAAGTTAAAAATGTACTTCTGAGATGGTCAGGTCTGAAACTTCTATTTCCCAGCTGTTTACAAGGAACTTCATAACTTATTTATGTATAGACAAATAAATCTTCAGCTTCATTAGTCATTTCTCACTATATCCTATGACCAAAAAAGGGTACTCTTCTCTTTGTTTATTATGGAAAAGCTATGTCAAGGCGGGGGAGGAAGAGGAATTGCCTGCGGGGACTGAGCAACTAAAAAGAAGAGCCTAGAGTGGGACTGAGCCTTGGAGCTGTCTAATGAGCCACTCTGCCTCCCACAGCTAGCTCCTCACAGCTCTGCAAAAGACTAAAAAACTGGAGCCAACAAAAACAAAACACTCACAGATCTAATTTGGTGACTAACACCCTAAAGATATGCAGTTTGCTCCTGAGCAGGACTAGAGTACTCACTTTCTTTGCGAACTTCCTCAAGTGAAGCCGTAAGCTCATCCTTTAAAACTGTAGCTTCCTGGGCAATCTTCTCTCCCTTGTCTAATAAATTCCAAGTTGCTTCCTCCACAGAAGCTAGAAGGATACTGGCTCTTTTCGAACGTCCTTTTTTCCTGCTGGAAGGGTTCTGGGGACAGTTTACAAGTGTGGTAACCTAAAATTGAAAAAATACAAAGTGCTCCATTGACAAATTGTAAGGCGAACATAGTCCTGTGATATTACAGCCCAGAACAAAAGACAGTACAGTTGACCCTTGAGCAACTCAAGGGTTAGGGGCACCAACCCACCATGTAGTTGAAAATCTGAGCATAACTTTCGACTCCTCAAAAACAGAACTGCGAATAGCCTACTGGTGGCCAGAAGCCTGATAACAATAGTCGATTAACACAGATTTTGTATCTATATGTACTATATAACTGTATTCTTACAATAAGATGAGCTAGAGATAGTGTTATTAAGAAAATCATAAGGAAGAGAAAATATAAATAAATAAATAAATAAGTATAAGTGGATCATCATAAAGGTCTTCATCCTCATCATATTCATATTCCTGAGGAAAAGGAAGAAGAGGAGGGTTGGTCTTGCTGCCTCGGGGGTGTAAGAGGCAGAAGAGATGGAGGAGGTGGAAGGGAAGGCAGGAGAGGCAGGCACACTTGGTGTAACTTTTATTGAAAAAAATTCTGAATAAAAGTAAACCTGCATAGTTCAAACCAGTGTTGTTCAAAGATCAACTGTATTTCACAGTAACATGACTCATTTCCAGTGCTGTCGATACACCTACAAAAGTCAAGTCATGGCACCAAGAACAGCAGCAGGAGCCACCATGGAGTTCCCAACTAAAAATAGGAAGTGAGAGCCTTAGCGTTTGAATTTCAAAATATAGACATTAAAATGCCCACTCTTCAACTACCCCGGTCATCAAATCATTTCTATGTTAAATATTTACTGAACATCTATTTTTTACATTGTTCTGGATGATGGAAAAGAAATGCATTTCACGCTTTCATGGAGTTTACATTCTTAATGTTGGCAGCATACAATAAACATATAAACAAATAAAAAATGTAAGGTTCAGTAAATGTTAGGAGGAAAAATAAAGTTGTGGGAGGCAACAGAGTGAGAAAGAGTGGGGATCGGGGTGGTCAGGAAAGGCCTCTTGATGGGGGACTTTGAGTGAGACCTGTTTGAGAGGCCAAATGAGTTAGAGGAAAGTGTAGGAGACCAATCTGAGAGTTTACAAAGGGCAAGAAAGTAGGACATAGTAAGGATCTGGCCTTTGTCCCCTGAGGCAACCGCTGTTTTATATGATTCAGAATGTTTCTTCCTCTCCTAATATTAGTTATCTCTATTCTCACCCTAAGTAGACTAATACTGACTTAATTATAATTATTTTTGGCTCCCTCTTAATGTAGATTGCTGGCTAAAAAGTGGTATAAATTTTATCTTATAAAATTATTTGATATTTTGGAGATAAATAATTTTCTGCTCTCATTTTTGACTGTCTTATCAAAGTTCTGTATTTTTTATATGAAGTTTCTGTAATTAAAACAATACACACATATACAGGCTTCTAGAGCATTCTTCCAGTAGTAAAACTTGAACAAACTCCTCACCACAAGTATATGAAGTGAGAAATGTGTGAATTAGCTTGATTTAATCATTTTACAATGCATACACATATCAAAACATCACAGGGTACAAAATAAATATCTATAAATTTTATTTGCCAATTTTAAGTTAATAAAGCTTGGGGAAAAAAAGAAAGAAATGAATCTTAACAAATACAAGAACAAACTCATAATAAGAACATTATTTGAAGACAAAAATTAAGCTTCTGTATTTGGAAACAAAAACATCATACTGAATTACATTATTAAAAAACACCCATTTCTGGCTGGGCGTGATGGCTCATACCTGTAATCCCAGCACTTTGGGAGGCCAGGGCAGGCGGATCACTTGAGGTCGGGAGTTCAAGACCAGCGTGATCAACATGGAGAAACCCCGTCTCTACT